GCGTGGTACAAGGGAACAATTGACGGCTTAAAATGAGAGATTAATTCGGACATGTCTTTACGCCAGTATACTTACGCGTTTTGCCTTATCGCGCCATGTTTTGTAAAGTGTCATTATACTCGTATCATTCTTGGAAGAATTATGAAATACATACTTAGTACATTAATACTAAATAGCATTCCAATAAGTGATTATGATTTGCGTAACCACTTATAACGGATATAAATCAATTTGCATAACATGTTATTAACAATTTCAAAAGGTTTACTACAATTGTAGGTAGATTTGGATATTTCGCATCTGAATAAATGCCTAAATGATTAATATAGTAGGCTAGTACGTCTTGTGTGGTTAGTAGCTGTTCTTAACGTGTTTTAAAAAAATACTTGCGAGTAGTCTGGATGTATACTAATATCATAGAATTTAAAACATTAAGTGCAAATATTTAACACACACTACACATATTGGATAAATTTCATCCTTACTATTCTATTGATCCGAAAATATACCGGCTCAATTTAAAACCCAAAGGTAGTGACGAAATGTCCTAAAATCGTTTTAAACCGTCAAGTTTTCTATTTAGGTAAACCTATAATATGCAAGTCTTATCGAGTTGTCGTTTTCATGTATCTCTCACGAAACCCAATCCCTCACGTATGCTAAACAGAATAAAATTTAATTGACAAGCTCTTAACTGTCACCGCGTCTTGGTCAAGGCTATGCACGGCCTTTCGTCCTAAATAACTGCATCTATGGCTGTACAGAAATTGGTTACGGTCAACAAAAGCAAGGCCGACCGCGCCCTACCGATCACAATGCGAATTGCGATACAACTATTTATATGTGCCCAATTATGGTCAACAAATACTAATCAGTGCGTTGACCTCAAAACAGATTTTAAGCTTTTTATCTATAGATGCTTTTTTTGGATCACTTCAACTAAGTTCCTTATTACTTCCTATGTTTCCAAAATATGCAAAGCCTAGCTAGAGAGCTTGAAGTACAAAACAATGATGTTAGGTTCTGAAACTAACTTATAATCTATTTACCTACCTGACATAAAATATATACCTATACCTAACTACCTTTTTTTAAATTCATTCCCAATTTATTGATTGAATAATTTTACCCGTCCATCATTTATTGTCATTACATAATGTCATAATACACAGTTTTATTATTGGAAAATATGTGAATATTATCTATATTTCTAAATATAAAATGTAAGTTCTTATATTTTTTTTAAGAAAAATATTCTAATTGACAACTTTAAATTGGAGGTATTTCCCTGACTTTCTTAAGAAATTAGAAAAGCTGGCTGGAAAGCCTGATTTTTTTTTGTTTGTATGTTCTTATAACAATTTTTTTATGGCAAGCAAATTGTTTAAGGAAAATTGATAATAACTCAATAAAATAAACCCGATGAGTAACAATAAATATACAATAAGAAAACCTTGAACCAAAGATGTGTGCTGACATCAGCTTGTATACACAAGTGATTATATCACATTTGAACTATTACACAGAAACAGAGCAATGACTGAAGGAAATATTAGTGCTATAGTATAAAATTTTTATGGGCACTGTTTTGTAAAAAGCATTATCAACCATAACCAACAATGAATTATATGGCTTAATATATACTTAGTGACAAATTTTAAAGACTTAAAAGGATCCGATGGGAAAAATATGTATAAAAGTAATACAAATACATGCCAGCTATAAGACTCTGCAAGTACCAAACCTTTGTATGCAAGAAAACAATCCTCTGGGAGGTTGCAAACAAAATTATGGTTGAAGAGTCTTAGGAGTTATAGGCTGTCAAAGTGAAACACTTAGTAGTAGTATTTTCTTATCTATGAATTTGTATGGACAAAATTTATAATTTGAATAGTTAGAAGATGTGATACAAATACGAATATTAATCTTTTAGTACAGATTTTGTTGTTAAGGACAATTGACAAGACATAAATAAGGCTGTATACAATAAGCTGATTTTGATTTGAAGTAATTCTAATTATTTTTTATTACATTGTGGAAGAAGACACTTAATAGTATTAAAAAATATATATACAATTTAAAGGATATAGTTTAGAAATTAAATTATCCACCTAAAGCAATAGCTACTAAAGGCAGATATAAATCTAGATTCTCCGTTTGGCACAACTGCCTTGCAACACCAGATTTCCCATTGATTGTGAATCAATGGTGTTATGCAAGATGTAAGGTAAATTTGGAGAATTTATGAAAGTCTTACTACTCTAAATTATACTCTTAAACGTACAGAGAAGCACCGCTCACTTTTGAAATATTAAGATTAAGCTTTCAGTGGGAAATAGAGCATGATATTTTGCAATTCTCACCGAGGCCTCGTACTTTTATCGTAATAAAAATATAACGATATCGTGTATTACTGATGCAAATTGTGGAAGGAATTTTATCAGAACTATTTGCAATCTGCGACAATACGCCGTTATCTCCCGGCCTACGAGTAGCTACCAATTTTACACAGGTGAGTTCGTGGCAAAGAATCAACGCCAAAATATCCTCTTATTTACTAGACGATACACCCGGGCAAGTTCTTACCTGGGCAACGTTGTAATGTGTAAACAGCAAGTAATCCAATAATAACTTAGCGATCACTGATGATCCTATTACTGTTAGACACAAAACATTCCACGATCTTCAATACGATAAATTAAAGTCACCTTTTACCCACTAACGCACAGTATAACGTTTAGATTAATTTAAAAATAACACTAAACCACGTATTTTAAAGAAACTTATGAATTTAGGCGCGATGCTTTACCAGCGATCACTAGCTTCTTTTCCAACTGACTGACGGCCATAACTGAGGATGTTGCCATTATTATCAGTCACGTTGTTTTCTGCTCACGTGTTTGAGTTGCCCTTACGCGCGGCAAAATTTGCCCACTTTTTTTACAATCGCTTATATGAAAACAAAATTTTAAGGACAATTATTGATCTTATGTTTTGGATTATTTATGCAAATCTCAAATTAATGAGTTTAGTTAAAATAGTAGTACTAAGGAAGGGTTTCGAAATAAAACACATAATAAAGAATATCATATGTAATTTTTAACAATTCCTCTTTAATAACTAAGTATTGCAACAATGATTTCATTTTGTATATTATAAAGAAGATAGGCGTAATTTTATATTTTTACAAAAATTCATAACTTAGTTTAAAAAAATTCGTAACTGGTTTCACAATATTTAATGAAAATGCGTTGAAGCAACAACATAAATAGAGATCCATAGATTAAAATAAAAAAATATCATAATTGTAAAACTTGTATAAAATATTTGTTGAATAACCGTCTCTTTTTCTAGTGAAAAGAGCTGTTTCTTGTACTGTGGTATTGATTAAAATTCTTATTCCTCACTCTGTAAGCATTACTTTTAGTTATTTCTTCGCATTAAAAAAAAGGCTTTATTTATGTGAGAATTTCGTTTAAACTGTCGTAAAACATGCAAAGGATAAGAAATCGTTCAAAACCGAGTTTCAGAATAAATATTCAATTAAAAAATTATATTAAATATATTTTGTGAAAGCTAGCTTTTTAACTAATATATTTATAGTTTAACTTATAACAATAATGGGTAAAGGTAAAAACATATCTATATACTAGGTATTGCAGGATGTTAATTATTATGATGCGTAACAAATACACAACTTTGTTACGCATCATAATAATTAGGATATAGTTTGCAAGAGTGGAACACAATAAATAAAACCCTTTGAACGGTTTAAAACGCGAAATATACATATTAGTTATTTATTTCTAACAGCAGTTGTAGTCCCGGCCCCCGAAAGGACGGCTTATATATATCTCATTTGACGTTTTAAACCGTTTTAAATGCTTAACTAAACGCTTTACACAATTGTGATGCTGACAAAATATAGTAGGCACAATCTGCTTATCGCATCAATTACTTGTATTCTTTATAAGTAAGGCTGTATAGCCATATATATGTCCCAAGCCCCTTATAATGAGAGTATCACTTGAAAATACGATAAATGGTAATATTAGGTAGGTACATATATATATTTAAATAAGATAAAGTATTGATATTAGTCATAGAAGACACACAAAGCTTTATGTTAAACAGATTATGATCGATATGCAGGCACAATTTCCAATAAATTACAATCTTATACTACTTTTATGGAATATTTAATGTTAACAAGTATAGTAATTACAAAACGATATCAAGTATTTAACTATCCACAACACCGAAATTCTCCCTTACTTTAGGGAGAAGAATAGAATGGGGCAACTCGCAAAGTAAATGTCGTAATCCGATTGATATTTTTTTTAATTTCAATTGTCAAGTAGCATATAGATAATGTTTATTCCTAATGTATGTAAATTGTCATTACTTTTAAGTTTAAATTGATATATTCCACAAGCTTGTTATCACGCACAAGTTGGCACAAGCAATTAAGTAAGTATGAAGTTGTTCTTTAAGGTTTGACTTAGCTTTAATACTACGTTACACGAGCACACAACAGTGAATACAAAATGTTTTGAAGATGTTTTACGCGTTATTATGACAGTGTTGCTACCATCGAAAACGTAACTCGGTACAAATTCGTGTCTCTCATTGTTCATTTAAATGAACATTTACAATGAACCTTTTTACATTGTAAGTACTTCTTGTAAGTACACGAAATTTTATTCAGTATTCATAAACAATTAGTGACTTACCACATGTAAATGTAAATGTTAAACAGTTTAGCCAATAACTTAGTTTTGATTTTTGGGTATTTTTTAATGGCTACACTGAGTTCTGTAACATTCACTAGTGTTATTCAAATTTAAAATAACGGAATCGTCATTTTATTTGCTATCGATATCGACGACGACTAAGATTTTTTTTCACAATCCCTTATGTGCGTGCCACCTTGGACTACGCCGATATTAATCTTTCTCGTGCCGGCAACACGATGTGCAATCAAGCGAGCAAGGTGATCGCTACCTTTTCCCGCGGGACGTCAGCGATAGTTGTTCCTGTAACAGAAAGAAATGTGATTGCTTTTAGAAGAAAAAATCTAAAGTCTATTATCGGATAAAGCACACTTGTGTAAAATAAGTGGTCGCCTTTTCCTTATTCTAAATTTAATTATAACAAGTTATGAACAAGCCAGAAGTTGAAAGATATATATTTTTTCACTTTTGATCCCAGGAAATGTTTTATTGCCTTTAGTAGTCTTCATAATTTGCCTTAAGGTTTCAGTTAGGCAGAGAGCAGAAGAAGGACCGACATAGAAGCAGGCACAGAAATGTGTCGGAATACCGATTTTTTTTACCTTCTTTTTATATTACATAATAATTATACATTTAGTTTTACCTTCATTAATCGCAGGGCTTCCAAAAGCTCCTGTTTGTCAGCTAATAGATTCGCAGCTTCTTGTTGAGCTGCGTGCGCGCATTGACGTAAAACTGTAGCTTCTCCTGCGATTCTGAATTAAAAAAAATGAAGTTACAATAAAGGTATTATTTACGATTAAAATTACATTATTAAACCTCAATAATAAGTAACACAGTCTAGTATTAGCCTGTACTACCAAACAACTAAATACAACTTTGATATTTTTTACATGTTATGTAACTGTACTATTTAATTGAAAAAAAAATACGACTCACGCTGGACTCAAACAGGACACGGTAGATACTGTCTATAGTTTACGCGAGTAGTACACATTTAAATAAAACATTTTAACGGTTTAAAACGCGATATATTAGTTAAACTTATTCGGCCGAAGTTAAAAATCATTTTCAAATGTTTAACTAATATATCGCGTTTTAGTCTATACTTACGCTCTCAACTCCCTATTGTCTTCTGCGATCCTATCCATCGTGGCCATTCGCTTTCTCAACTCTTCGTTTTCTCTGTTCAGCCTGTCTATCTCTTGCCTGGCGTCCTTAAGTTCTGGCGGACTCTGGGGGCGTGAAGTCTCAATAACCGGTGGGCCTAAATGGACAATGCCCTTTGCGTCCCGGGTCAGACGTAATGTGGTAAGGTCTAAATCTAATGGCTGAGGTGGTGGAGACGAGATGGAGCGAGTTGGTCTATCTTCCACTAGGTGAAGTTTCAGATTCGATATGAGTACCTGTAATTTAATGATTTTTAACGTTAGACAGGAGGATTATTCAGAGAGATTTCTCGGTAGACATGTTAGATCTAAATCGACTGCTTAAAAAGTATTTTTTATTTAAATAACTTTTCCATTGTACTCATGCAAGCTATTTTTATACTAAGAGAGTAAAAACTAAATAGTAAGGATAACTGGGTGGGGTACATAGATTCGTAGAACGGTTAGTATTAGGAATATGTATAAAAATATTTTTATTCAGGTAAAAATTTAGTTAAGTAAAGTTCAGTAGATTAAATTCGATTCGAATTCGATTGAAATTTTATAATAAAAAATACGCATTTAGACGTTAATATTTTATTGATATGGATATACTGACCTCTAGCGGCATAGGAGGCACAATTACTTCGTCCTCAATGAATTCGGATAGAGCGAGTGCTGTGCTCATATTCAATGACATGTTCAAGTCACGAATTTGAGCTTCAAGCAGCTCTTCGAAAGGTGCCAAGCCCGTTGGTTCGCCCTGGAAAATGAATGTATGTGTTAATAATAGTCACTAAACTTTCGTCTGTTATTGATCACACGTGTTTTTATTATTAATGATAGATGAGGACAGGCACGCATTGAGGTTCACTTGATGAGAAATACCCCAGCCATATAACGTCTACTCATGATGCGCGGTCGACCTATTTTGGTTTTGGATATTCGAAAATTTAAGCGATTAAAGTTCTCGGCTTTTTCATCTGTGAAAACGGTGACGGTGGTTCGTGACCCAGACGGAATTTCGATATGCCTACTATCCAGATTTCCAGACGAAGTCTAAAATGTTTCATAAAAATAATAAATTGAAAAATTAGAAACATGTTGGACCCCGTGGGGATCGAACCCGCGACCCGTTGATTATTAGTTACTTTGCTACCCTAATGGTAGTCATATTATAACTGTACTATAAAGATTAAAAACCTTTTCATTCAGTTCCTTTGGTAATTCTATCCTCACAAGCCTTGCTGCAACGCGAGGTAAGTCTCTTAACTTCGTATCTTCATCGCTAACTGCGGGCTCGTTCCACGCCCGAGCACGCATTGAGAATTTACTCTGTACATTTTGAGGGTAGTTTTAAATACTATACTTATAAAACGCTGGTGACACGGATCTCGTCACATCTATGATAACTTCCCACAATTACAGTAAACAAATTTTTAATTGGATATCTCGAATTATTTTTTTAGAATTTCATGTTATAGGACGGTAAATAAAGAAGTAATTATAATTTTGCCTGAAGGACAAGATCCGTGACTCCTATTGAACATCTGTATAGAGTGCATAGTCATGCGTATTATATAATGTTGATGACGGTAAACGTAGCTGAAAATAGGGTTATAACTAAATTTGTTGCCTAGCGTATCTTTTTTTTGTTATAAAATAAAAAGTTGAAACTTAAACTGCACTGGAAAATATAGGAAAACTATAAATTGTTCCATCTTATTTTTTTTTATATGTCATACTAACTCAGTATCATTTTATTAATAAAACATAGTTTTATTTAAGTGCCGTTCGTATTGCACATTTATAGCCATGATCATACCGGTAATAGTTCATTATCTTAAGGAACAATTAATATGTAATCTTAGTTTTAATTTCATAGCAAGCATTTTAATATTAAATATATTATATTTTATCTTCATGCTAAACTTCGAATCCAAACTCACTATTCACACAATAAGATGCACTTAGCTTAAATGTAATTAATGTATTTTGATTGTATATTGTTATGTTGTGTATGAAACAGGGATTTATATTTACAATAAGCACATGCAATATATACAGGTTTAATATTATAATTTATACATACTATGTATTATACATAGGGCACTGAAGGTTAAAATATGAGGTGGAAATGGGTAGTCTTACTCACTTACTACTGTACTTACACCTTTATACACACTGTTTTCTTCTACTTTAATTACTTACTACTTAATTTGTGATCATAATATTGCAGTATGAATGGAGGTGCATAAATTGAAGCACATTTTGACAGATATTTTCATCGATACTATGGCTAATGATAACATAATAATGTTTTTAAAATTGTGTAATTTCTATCTTTAGGTTATCGTGATCTTACTATATTTTTACTTATAAAAGGATTCTAATTTTATAATAAAAAAATGGAGTTTATTTAATGACAAAAAAATTTGCACAACATTTATAAATAAATAGTTGTAAGGAGTAATTCGATTATCATTAATGAGCCTCGTTATTCTTGAAACCTTATTTTATGTAAAGTAGATGAAAATATCTCTCAAACACACATTCCAAACCCCCTTGGCTACGACACAAACGCTACATCTATGGCACTTAACAAAACACTACGTTTTCCTTACAAATACCTTGAGTCGGGTCTGTTCATGATAGCCGAGCGGGCGGTGTTGCCATAAAGAAAACACATAGACAACAAGTTAGAATTTGCATTCCTTTTTTATTAGTAGGTATAATTAAAATCGATACGATGGGTCATGACGTGACTTGATGATCATGCAAGCTGGCAATACTTTTTCACATTTTCTATAAAGATATTATATTGTTCAATCCAGTGATAAAGTGTTGCCACATGATAACAGATTGGAATCGAATAAAAAAATATTAAAACATGCTAGAAGAACTGATTTTCAACGTAGGTAAAATTCCGTACACAATGACGTCAAGGCGACTAATGCGTATATAGGGGCATCGTTTCGCCCATTTCATTGAATTAAATATGAATTTATATAGTTCATGACTTACCAAAACATCGACTCATGAATCGCCTTAATTAGGACATGTTAGAATGACACTGTGGTGTAGATGTTATGTTTGAAGTATAGAAAATGTGGAAAAAAGTTATAGATTAAATTAAAGTGGTATTGGTATATTAGAAAAGTAATTAAAAATCCAAAAAAATATATTGTTCATGAAATGTTTATGGTAAATGTAGTTCTTTAAAGGTTTGGCTTTCTTTCTGAAAATCTTGGCTTCGACAAAAATTATCTTGCTGATTAAAAAATAAATATTAAACTAGTGTTTATAGTATCAATTTATATATGAACTTCACCTGAAATTCATCCCAAGGTATCGAAGCACATTCATCGGACTTTAGGTCGTCCGCTGTTAGTCTTAAGGTAGATTTTCCTGGTACACTCTGTTGCACTAGGTAGATGTTGTTTAAACGCCACGTGCACGTTGAAATCTTAAAGTGTATATAAATCATTGTATGCTTTAATAATTGTATGTTTTTAAACATATAAAAAACTAACATTCATAGTTAAACAAAGAAAAATATGAAAGATCTTTGAAATGGAAGTTCTTAAATTACAGCAAAGTGGTTCTATGTTACTAAAATATGCATTACTAAAATTTGCGAACCATTATAAGGATGCTGTCCTAAAGATATAACTCGTTTGTACGCTTGTCACTCATATTACTAAAAAACATACTGATAAATTCGTCAAATTGCTGTCACAAAATCTTTTAAAATATACTAACCAAATCTCGTCGTTTACAAGAACTGGTAATGGAGTGATCTGATGGGGAAGAAGATCGCTCCACCACTTCAGCTGCCATTTCGACACCACTGTTGCAGGTTCGACCTTGTTCGAACTCCCTGCAATTTTAAACAATCTCGGTTTATGACAAAGTCAATTCGTTCCTTACTTATTATACCTTAATTACATAATTTTAATTGTAATTAACAATAAAAAATATCCAGAATTATACATTTTTGCTTTTTTTTTTATTCTAGACAAACAAGCATATGGTTCACTGGATGCAAGGCGAAGTACCTCAGCCATATAACATTTCAGCAAATGCGCTGTCTATTTTTGATTTTGGATATTTGAATTTCCAGACCGAAATGGAAACGCGATTAAACTACATGGATTTCATCTTGGACGGAATTTTTATATTCCTACCATTTTATAAAATGGGAAAATTCCCAGACGAAATTCAACGTGTTTCAGAAAAAACACAAATTGATTATAAACATATTGGCCCTGGTGGGGATCAAAAATGCAAACACAGATAAGCCAATTTCTAACTTTAGATGGAATGATAATCATCATGACATAGAAATACCTAAAAGCCATATCTGCGTCCAACGGCGATTCTGCAGCCAACCCCACCACGACGTATCTTTCACTGTCAGAACTGGCTGTCGAGGCTGCGTCACTTCTCCCCTCATCACGCGTCAGCGCGCTGTCTATTGACGTCACTAGCGATGTAAGTCCACGGCGCATTGATGAAAAACCTAAGTAGGAAAAGTATATATAGAAATAAATATTTTTGATTAAAGTAAGGTCGCATGCGCCACCGTGCAAGTATTGGAATGGCATGTTTAGCTTTGTACTCATTAAGAAAACGTAACATCACGTTGTTTTACAAGGTAACAAAACTCAAATAACCAAACTAGTACCAACAGTTATCGAGTGGAATGAAAACGGATTAAATTACTAAAACAACTACAATAAAAAAATGGGTTGTCTGTAATTTTAATGCTGCTTTATAAAAAATAAAAAACAAATACCCTTAGAAAATGAACCATTGTCATTTCTAAGGGTTGAGGAACAAATAGATAGTAACCGAATCTCAGGCCAACTAAATATGGATTAAAATTTTTATACAAATCGGTCGACCCGTTTCAGAGGACTAACTAACACTGTGACACCAGAATTTAATATTGACGGTGACTTACTGGAAAATCCTAACCCAGGACTGGGCGGTGGTAACTCTTCAGCAGGAAGGGGTAGCGCTGAACAAACTTCTATGGACTGCGAAAGTGGGTACCCACATTCTGGCATCGAATGCGTGGCCAGCACTCCACTGTCTCGATCCAGCATTGATGGAGCCATCGTTGATTCTGAACCTAGGGAGGTGCCTACATCCCTTAGTACGGCAGTAATAAATATGATAAAAAAACATGTTGTCTCTTTCACTCCTAATCGATTTTAAGTCGAAAAAGCGAGACAAGCGGTACAAATAATACATCATATTATCTAGTCTGTCTCTATATACAAGCCCGATATTTGGGACGTAATAAAATGATGTTTACAAACGTAAATTAATTGTAAAGTCACTACAATGTAAAAAAAGAGATGACATTTACCCATTTTCAAGTCCTGCAAACTGGAGGAATCCAACGGCACACTGTCCAGGTCTCTTGAAGATTCTTGACCGGGACAGTGGGTTGGGAGCACCAGCGTTACTTCTACTGCTGGGACTACTATTCCCGCCACTATTGTACTGAAAAATAATATCATCTCCATAATCAACTAGTTAGACACGACTTTCCATGAGGGTTAATTGACTTGACCCGTTAGTCAAATAACCTTGGTTCTTTGTTATTATCTTTGAAGTCAAAACTTACCCCGGCTCTTCTGGCATCCTGCCAGCTTGATGGGACAACCAAGCGGTAAGCTCTGACAGTTTCTCCAACTGCCTCAATAGGAAAAGCAATTGATAATGGTTGATCTGCAACCCAGTTAGACCACACGTTCGCCCGATCACCCAGATTTTATTGAAGCCGTCTTCGAAACACATCTGTGTTGAATAAATTATGAACGTTAATGTATATGTTTAAAGACTATGCTTAATAATAATTTCCTAATATACTATGCTATGCTAAACGTGTTGCCTAGCATTGCCTGTCGAGAAGTCCTGGGTACGAATGGGCAAACAATAGATTGTTTGGTCAAGCAGGGCAAAGAATTCTGATTAACTACTTGCCTATAAATAAAATCGTTCATTCGGACACAGAAATGTGTTCACCCCACGCCCCATGGGGGAAAACTGGATTTCACTTATACTATTGTTTTACAATATATTATGTTTACCCTAAGAGTAAATTTTAATTAGTTCTTATTGTTAAAATGCATTTGTATGACTCCATTATGTTAAGTAAAATGAGGCTCTATGTTTCCGCGTGAAATTTAAGATATGTACAGGGAAATTTTACATCCCTGGAAAAGTTTAAAATAAATAAACTAGTAGTATAATAATTAATTTTAATGTTACCCAAGCAGTTAATGGTGTAGCATCTAAAAGCGGAGAAGGTTTATAGTTAGTAGCCCGTGCGCCACAGAAATCGATCCAAAGCGGTTCGACTCTTGCGCACCAGATAGATCTGTTCTCCCGCCACAACAACTCCGGAGTGACTGCACTGCCGCGATCTATATCGTCTAGACCTGTAAAAATATTTATTTTTAACAGATGTGTTAAATTTATTAAGTTTAATGTAATAAATCTAGAAATAGAAATACGTTTATTCAGAAACAACACGAGACATTTAACATATTAAATAATAAAAAAAATGAGTTACTTTGAAAAGGATTCTATTCAGCTACGTTGGAATTACCGTCCCAACACTGATATTCTGTGACTCCATGAGAGGCCCATCACAAGCGAGATAATTGCACATTTTGTAAATGAAGTAACAACATATAACATAATTACATTTAATCAGAGGTGTATGTATAATAAATAATTGGATGATTTAAAATAATGAAGGAATATTCGTTTAAATTGCTTAATATAACAGACATACTTTAAATATAATTGTCTAAATTACTATATCTACTATATCTTACTGTACTCCTCTTATTATGTAAAAGGTAAGTTTTTTTGACGTATTTCGTCGCTTGAATCATTTTTACTGTTAATCTTTTACCCTCTAATCTGTACCACACATAATGTACATGGTTTTAAGCATGTAGTTGGTCGTTAAATAGGACGAGCAGATAACTTAACACTTTAATTTTAATATAATGTTTTTCATACTCTGTAATATTGGCTGGCAGGCCTTTCTTTAAATAAATATATCTAGGTATCTCAATTACTTGTAAGGTTTAGTACAGTACTTACTGTCAGCGTGTAGAACGAACTGCTGGTGTATGGGGTCCATATCGTCACCAGAACAGGGAAATTGTCCCCTCGGTGCAAGACGACGTAATGTTGAAATAATTGAGGCTAAATCCGCTCTAGTGCCTGCAGTGTCTGTAGATTACAGAATGCTTTAAATAGTAAATATTCAGCACATTTGATCTTTAACAAAATAATTTTGATGTGAATTAATATATTAAGAATTCTATTTGGCATAAATCTAAGAGGCAACGGGAAATAAGTACAAAAACTGAGTTTTTTTTTTATGAAATGGCACAATAATATTGTTGGAAATATTGATATTAAATGCGTGGCATATAGAAATTTCCGTCCGGATCACAAACCACCATCCACAGATGATAGAGGTTGCAATTGGATTAGATAGGTTGCATAGTTTTTCCGAATATCCAAAGCCAACAACGCATCTTGTTTAGTTGAGACCATCGAATGAATCCTATGCTTGTCTCTCGTCCTTTATCATAAAAAAGAAAACCAAATACTCACTAGATCTTGCAGACTCGCGTACGTTTGTGAAAGTCGCTCGCGCTGTACAAACTTGAAGTTCTTTCGGTCTGTCGCGCTGTTGCGATATATGTTCCGGTCCCGCTTCCAAAACTATCTATGGAGGCATAGCATATAGAAGAAGTAAAACCGATTACAATAAAGTCAAAAAAAATGCAATAACATCACACATTCAGCGTATACGATGACGTATTTTTACAGTGATCAATAAAAAAAATTATCAGAAATAAATGAAAACTATCGACACCCATAAATTTTTCTAAAAGTTATATCTTTATATAATACCTTTTCGATAAAAAAAAGACTGAATATTACATACCTTAGGCATGATACACTCAGTGCGTACGTCCATATACGACGAGGAATCATTCGTGCTCTCAGTGGCTATAGCTGCTGCTACATGCGGCAAGAACGCAGCCAGCCACACCACACTCGGAACATCTACGTTTACCCTTACTGGCGACACTTGCACGTAGAGTTTTGGTGATGGCACTGAAATGAATAATACATCAATATTTTCGATGTAATAACGTCCTAGTGCTGGACATAAGTCTTATGGGTTTGAGGGCTTTGCAATTTCTTACCAGGGAAGCATACATCGCCGGGGTAGTAAAAGAAAGTAAGCTCTGCGTGGAGTAAACCCGCGTCACCAGGTAATGTAGCTTTCTCGGCACTAACCAGGGGACGAGGCGCCTCGCGAGCCTTGGATCCCGTTGATACCTTTAAAAATACAGAACAGACAAGATTAAAGTAAACAAAATTATTACTATCTCCATAACTAAGATAACACAAACACATCTATTAAGTTCCAACTAACCTTATAAACCGTGAAATCATCTATCCTTAAAACTAAACAAGTAGTCATCAGCTTTCCTAGTTGTTGAAGTATTCTTGTTCTTGTCGGTGATGCTGAAAGAGTAGAACAAAATTATAATCTATTCAAAAGAGGCATGTTCATATACATTTTTTATTTATTATAACATAGTTGATCATAATACGTATTAAAGAAGGTATAATATACTAGTCGGTTACTGAAATACTGTCTATAGTTTACGCAAGTAGTACACATTTGAATAAAACACTTTAACGGTTTAAAAAGCGATATATTAAACTTATTTAAAAATGATTTTTGCAGCAGCCGTGGTCACGGGGAGACAGTCTCCCCGTGACCACGGCTGCTGCAAAGCATCCGAAACGTCGGGCCGAAGTTAAAAATCATTTTTAAATAAGTTTAACTAATATATCGCGTTTTAAACCATTAAAGTGTTTTATTTAAATAGTCGGTTACTACTAATGCACTTACCTTGTGAGGTAGTTTGTGTGGACGGAGCAGTAGGAGCGGCAGTTTGAGGTGCACTTTGTTTGTGACTTACACCATTCGGTAGAGACTCTTCACTTCTCTCGGAATTACTGTTTGGCTGTAACAAAATACAAATCAAAATTTAAATCAAAATACGTCTTTCACTTAAACTTTACTTTTTTCACAAACCACTCCAAACGCTCAGTTAGAAATGACGTCTCTGGGCCAGAATACATAAAAATCATTTTAAAAAAATCATTTTAACATACAAAAATATTGCCCTATTTATAAGGTAAACGTGTTGGTTTCATTCTCTGAAGTTTCATATATCCAATAGGGCGACAGATGTTACATGGCATCAAGTGAATTCCATACCGTCCCCTATCAGAACATAAGTCAAGAAATAGTCATAAGTTTTTATATTCAAAAATGTACGTTTATTCTTAATAACTATACTTGAATAAACGAAATTAGATTTATTGCGGACGAGAGTAATGACGAAAATAAACACAAATGAATGGAATCAGGTACCTTAGCACTGGGTGTGAGGGGCCTGGGATCTAGCAAATCGAGTAATGACCCGCAGAAGGAAGACAGCGCCTGCGACAGCCACTGGCTGTGGGGCGTGGCGGCCTCTCTATAACCATAAGAGTACATTTTATTGCTGCATTATACTACGTTTCCTCCGATCACCACTAGGTGGCGTTCTTAATCGGAGGTTTGTATAATCTGTGTCGTACAAAAATCACCAATCAAAATTTGTATTAAATAATCGTAGTAAACTTTTTTCTAGAGATACGTGAATTCAATTAAATAATAGTCGACAGTTAGGACCCACGCAATAAAATTCAGACAAATTAAGCAACTCTCACTTTCAGTTGCGTATAATTGATAGTTAAGTTAATAATATATTTTAACTCTTACCGATAGCCTCTCCAATGCCGTCTATCGTCAGAAGCCTTGTGGTATGGAAACAGATCAGCCTGCATACTGACTAAGGTCACTTGGAGGGCACCACCGTTCGCTAACTGTGGCATTTCTGATCTACCCACTGAAAGCAACCATCATTTATTACAAAAGTTCATCAAACAATATCAGCAAGTTATATATTACGGTAAAATAATTATTATTGGAGTAAAATACAAAATGGAAATTACACGACACGGGGAGCGTAACCGACCTACTTTAGGAGGGATTCTAACGCACGATATAAATTAAACTATGTTCGTCGCAGGCGCATCGAATGGCACGGTTGCCATTGTAACAGTAAGGTGCAATTTGCTACACACTTTATTCTATTAGGCTAATAATATAAGCAGATTACACCAAGAGTTTAAGTAAGGGAATTAAAAATTATTAATGTTCTTATACTTACATCCAGGGTCATCACATAGATGCAGGTCTATCCTGGGCGCTAAAAGATGATACGAGGTTTCGCGGACGTCGTATCTCGCAAACATTCGCGCCAGGATGTCTTTCTCGCTTGAACTGGAACGGGTCGCGATTTGCTGTACTGGCTCTTCAATCTGCGTAGACAAATACATTATGATTTATACGCTCTTAAACTTACTTACCTAAAGCGACACTACAGAATGATGGGGACATATTATTACGTTATAGGTTATTTTATTTTACCAATGCAATATGAGAGCAGTGTGCCCTGAGGTAGTTAGTACCCTCTAAAAGCAAAGATGGCGCCACAATCGTGGGGACTTTATAAACATAACATAAAGGTGTATTCTAAAGAATTCTTACAATGTTGATACCAAAAAATATTTTTGTACAATTTTACTTTGAAGAAACAAAAGAAAAAAATCTATAATTAAAATGTGTAAGAAATATGACATTTTTATCATTCTAGAGCTTGGTTTAGACATGTTTTTGCCTGCGCTATACCTTCTTAGCAGCTTTAGTCCTGGTAGCGAGCTGTGTTGCTTTATGTACTGGCCCAGCTAAAGCTGCCGCACACGCGAGCGCTGCTCGTAGCTGTCCATCGGTCAGCGCCCACGCCAACGGCTCAGGGCGAAGCACTAATCGCGATCCTAGTACAGCACAATCTGTAAGCAACATGATTTTCATTTATAAACCTAAAAAAATATCCTAGAGTATACCCATAAAATAATTTAGGTTTGAGTTAAACAGATAATAATATATACCAGCTAATCTCTTCTTTATGACAATCCGGCAGTGTGTGGTTCCCAAAAGCAGTCGTAAAGGTGGTAGATTAGCTGCCGCCGCCCCATGCGCTTTCGCTTCTATCCGGGCACTCTGCCATTCTAATTCCTAGAATTGAGACACCACTTGTTATAAAATGATGACTGGAACTTTTTGAAGTTTAAAAGTTTATAACCTAAGATTAATAAAATGTTAAATGTTTAATGTTAAACATAATTTAAGTATTTCTCTGATTAAGCAAACCTTAAAGATAAGCAGCTGTCCTGTATCTGGTGATTTGATTCTAGTCAGTCTTAAGTCTCCCTTCCTGCCATCTGGTGTACGAGACTCAACAGTCACTCTTGAGATCTGCAACATAATCATTGTAATACATCCTCATTTCACTAAATCCAAAGAAGCTTAATTAAGGTAATTTACCTGAACACTACTGGTGAAAGCATCGCAATTAAAATCTATTTGAACATGATTCACAGCCACTGAGATACCGTCTATCACCTGAAACATAATATATGTACTAAAAATATTCATCAAATAACAAGTACTGACTACGGAAATTCCAAAAAATCCAAACTATGTATATGTTTCTTGTAAATGCTTTATCACATAACTACAACACACACAAACATATCTAAATACAATCTGCAGTTTATGGAAGTAGTACAAAATTAAATGAAAGACTTTTAACGGTTTCAAACGCGGAATGTAACGAAACGTTTGACCGTAGTTGAAATAATTTGTAAAGTCTTCCAAATATATTTCCCATTTAAACCGTTAAAATTGTTTTATTTAATTGTGTACTACTCGCGTAAACAACTTTTGCTTTATACCTACTTCTTGCACACTACTCAGTATCAGTTTTGGCAGTTCAGGTAATAAAAAGTTTCAAACGGGAAGTAAGACTGTGTTTTTAAAAATACCTTATGTATGTAGCTATACTTCCCAGGTACTGGCATAGCCGCTGCGGCATTTGGATTCATAACGCGAGGTTCCGCGCATACTTCCAACGCTATGTGCACTTCGTCCAAGTTCTGAAATTAGCATAATTTACATACTATCACTCCTTTCATATGCGTATTCTGCTATAAAATAATGTTGCAAGATTCCAGTTTGACTTTTTATTTTTAGCGTAAAAATTCAAGATGAAAGAAAAGAAGTTTATGGGAAAAACGAGATGTGCAAAGTAGGCGAAACAAAATATACAACCGCAAAAATGTCAAAACACAGATATTACTAAACTTAACTAGGAAAAATAAACCGAAAAAAGAAAGAGTATTTAAGAAAATGAATAGATAGTGACCAATTTATTCAGATAGCTGATTAATGGACAGAAAATGCTTGTAAAGAAGCCTTTTAATAGATAAAAGAGAATTTTGTTCAATAAATTTTATAAAACAAGAAACAAAATGAGAACTTCAATTTAGTGGGTAACAACAAATATTATTAACTATTAGTATATTGTTTGAAGTAAAATAAGTAAGTGTTTATCATATAAACATCTAAAATGCATCAAATGTAAAATGCAATTTTTTTTATACAGACTAAATAAGAAGAACAAGAATATTTTTATTATTATTGAAGAATAATAAGAATTTTGTATTATAATTATTATTATTAAAGAAGAAGAAAATATACCACTATATTATCTTTTTAACATAAATATTAATTATTCTACTTTCATAGAAATCCATGTTCTTATAAAAACTAACAAGTTAAATGATTATCTCATTAAGTTTCGCTCCGCTGATTACTGATCCTTGATCTAGTGGCAATGGCTTAGAAACACACTGCAGTTGTTCTTACATAAGCATTGTAATCATATTGTAACTCCAGTATAGCTCATTTTTCTTGCTAAATATATGTTTAACATAAGATAATTTTCAATTACCATTACTTACTGCTAATTTAGATAAGACGGTGCTTATTAGAAATATATATTTATGCATAACACAATCTGTACTTTGTAGAAAATACTATTAAATCTAACTTTATCTAAACCAATATTGGTTTATTGCTTTTATCTTTGTTTGGTTAGGTGTTTTGGGGTATAAATATTCTAGAATATCTAGATATAATAGGATGGCCAATGGTTTGGATTTCCGTTTTATATTGACGATATTATAGAATAGATATTCATTATTATATATTCTATTTATTATAGAGCTACTTTATGCAATATGTTTTATATTGTTCTATAATCCTAGTTTTGCTTTCAATACAAAACTGTAGTTAAAATTATTTTAAAATATTGTACTCATAAGCTGCTGCAGTCGTGTGTCTATAAAAGATATACTTAATTGTAAGTATTCCATGCTTACATACCAGAACTATGGGCACTGTCTTCAGCTTTGTCCATTGTATTCTAAATGATGCTCTATTACACTTTGCTGATGTTAAGCGCACCCACCCAGGTAGTTCCAGTAAATCAGTCAATAAATCTTCATCTAAAGTCAAATCCTGCAGTTCCCCAGACCCTCGGAGTGCTGATAATGATATTTGTTCAGGCGATAAGTTTTTAGTATACCTAAAATTCAAGAATAAGTTGACAACTTTGAACAGTGATTACAAATTCAATAAGAAGTTGTACATTTTTTTGCCTCATTTATTATAGTGTTAAAAAAATAAGCTTGACTCAACGCAATGATTAGTACCACAAAAACTACAGGAGTAACTAAAAACATATTTTGGATGTAAGAATAACTTGACTCACAAAACTCGGTTTTATTTAGTGAAAACATTGTATATTGGTTTCCATATTACGCTTACTGAATAGATATATCACATTATATACTCTATTTAGACTACTTAATTAGGTTCAACAGCGATTAAAGAATATATCACAACGCGATATAATACTGTACCTAGATAGATGTTTTAATAGCTGGTTCTTTATAATTGTAACCATTTCGAAGATCTTCTAGCTCTCGTTCTGTAACAATAGGTTTATTAATACTTGCTTAATTTTACATGATATAATAGGAACAATGGTAAAACAGCTTTCTTCGATAAAATGGAAAATCCAATATCTTCACTACCAGACAAACACAGCAGACCGATGACTGATAAATTAATGAAGATAAAAGAAAACAACTTCGTGTCACTTTGACGGCTGGCATGGCAAAGACAATTGACATACACTTCAATATTCTTGATATACACTAAAGTTTGAACATTAACTGACCATAAACTATAGTTGTTGAATTTATACTTCACTAGTACATACATATGGCGCGATCTTTCAATTTGTTCTGTTTACATGTGGTTGTTTGGTAACATTATTGATTTTTCTTACAAACGAATTTAGTTATCTTTTTTGAGATTGTAGATATCACAGAAATGCGACAATCTGGCAGCATATAAATTCACAGTGACCTAGTCAAGCGACAGAGGTATACAGTTCCAAAATCGAAAGTATAATAACATTTTTTCTTTGGCAGACGTCAGTCTTTTTTAAAGTGTATGTTTAAATATTTCTTAGTGTCACACTATTTATATACAAAGAATTTAATGGATATTATAACGTTTGACGTGGATTACATATTCATTTAAAACTGCAAAGAGAGTTGCTGATAAATATAATTTGACATAATTTCCATGTAAGTCTGATAATATTAAAATTAAGTAATTACAGATCACAGCTGACTTTTACAAACTAATATTGACTTCAAAATCACTAGTAGGTAGTTGATAGGTAGTCCAGTTAGTCAGTTAATCAGCAACGTAGATGTATATAGATGGCTCACCATAAGCATAAAATTCCAAATCTTTTTGCCTTAAATAATTGTTTTTATTTATTTTTAGCTAGCAGATCAGCACGCTTACCAATGTCACAGGTTGAGTTCAAAGTAGAGGCTATAAGCGAGTATATAGACACACAATACTCAGGCGGTGATACTAACAAAATGAAATTACAACAGAATTATCAGGAAGAGAATAACAACGACGTAGATGAGATAACCAAGAACTTTGACATGGGATGTATTGTTGACACAGTAAAGAGACCCCCGAATATCTGTGTTGAAACATGTGTGTATGACTCGGGATCAGATGACAGATCTGAATGCAACGATGGGTCTCGCTGTAATGTTGGATCTGAATGTAATGATAGATCTGACAATAATGATATGTCTGATAATGATAACGAAATTAATTATTCCGACGAATTTGAAGAGGACAGCGAAGTGGAGGAGATAAAGACTGTTAGCAAATCGGAAAATAATAGCATAGCATGTAAAGTTGCGTCAAATAAGTCTGTTAAGGTTTCCAAGAGTCATACTTCTGTGTCCAGTAAGCCACCGTCGATGTCTAGTAGATCTACTGATTATGGGTAAGAATTCATCCTGTATTATTTCTTGGTGTATTTTCATTTGTTATTGTAATGGTGTAAGGTGGTACTGAATAGTATTTTTATATTGTTACTGTCTTTTCTAGATCAGTTTCAGTGCCACCTACACGTCGTGTTAACATGTCGTTCACGAACGAAAGGCTGAGGGAGATTGAGAGGCACAACCACATCCTTCTAAATAAGATTTTAAGCGCACGAAATAACAAGAAGTCGACGATACCACCTAAAGAACAGCCAGTCCGCAAACCAGTGCCACCTGCTGCTGTGCACAGAAAGCAAAAGCAGAGACAAATTGATCATGACAATATGGTAAGTGAAATTTTCTATAACCGTGTTTCATAAAGGACAAAGTTTTTGGCATATATGAGGCCGCTAGAGGCAGAGAAGCCTAACTGCAATTCTATAACTTATTTATAGTTTTATAGTCTCTAAAAATTGTTAAAATACTTTTTACACAAATATTAATAGTAGAAATTAGTTTTCGCTTAAGTTAAATGAGCATTTTCTTTTCCTTCTTAATGAAAACCATGTTTTTAATTACTAGGCGATTGCCTCTAGCAGCCTCATATTATCTAGCCCTCTTTGTGTCAAAAAGAATCTATAAGAAGGGTTATGTGCCTCTTTTATTCATTTTTTAGGTTTTACGTATAAATCCTTATAATAACGAATATTTTCAGATCCTATTAAAAAAGATTCAACGCGCCAAGTCTTCGGCCTGTAGCATCCGACGTTGATATAGACAACGCGTCCGACGGCGCGGGCGCATCCAATATACGATAAAACTTTATGCATTGTTGAATATATTTTTATTACTAATTTTCATTCTTGTTTCCTTCTTCATCCTAAACCCTTCTAATATAAAAAGTAGTTGTTTTTATAGTAATAACTATAACTTTTAATATATTGTTACTTTATAAAGTTTAAGAAATCCAATCTGTTTTTGCTGCACATCTTTATATTTGCTATTCAAACTCAGCAGGCAAAGGAATCAATGTTAACTGCACGTCCTGTAAAGAGGAAGATTTTCGAGAATTACCAAACTCTACTCATATAAATTAAAATTTAATTAAATAAAAAAATATATATACTTTACTTCGCAATAAAACTATAAAAAGGGAAAACCAAAGGAACTTAGTCTGGCTTTGTATAATAATTATTTTATTATATCATATTAGACCCAGTTTTGGCTCCAATATAATATATTATTGTCTTCCAAACGACTTAATATGTCTTATTGGTCTTACTATGATAAATCTTGAGTTGATTGTGTACAAACTACTTATTAACCTTGTAGAGAAGTCCTTTATATACACCCCAGGGAAACCTTATAAAAATTAACTAATTGCCTATAAAAATGTTGACATTTGAAACAAAATAATAATTGTTAGCCTATGTCCCACTTATGAGAAAATGAATCTCTCTTTTTTATATGCTACCACTAACAATGATTAAAATCGTCAAAAATAATATTTCCATACTCCTTTTATCTTTACTCCTTAATCACCTAATATTCTAATGAATAAATTACTTAGTGACTGTCTAAATGATTAAAACACAATTGCTTGAAAGTAGGTATAAGCGTATAAAAACATTCGATAAGAAAAATATTTTTAGCTCAGGCCTTAGCAAGTAGTACGATTAACGTTTAATAATAATTTGTTTAGCGAAGCAAAGATAACTGACGCACCTCTAGCGGCTAATTGGGAAGCTATCTAAGAACGACACGCCTTAAGATTTAACTGGAGCTTAAGTTTAAATATAATCAGATAGACCATTGTTAGATAAAAGCAGAAACATGACATTTGTTGCGTTCCTCAATGTTTTCATTGGTTTCCAGAAGACTTATTTAAAAAAAATAGGAGACTGATTTGAGGATTGGATAAAGTGAGTTCCTTCTCAAATGAGGTTATTTTTTTATTGTTACAGATTATTTGAAAAATTAAAAAAATCGCTCTGTTAGCAAAAAATATATAAAAAATTATGTTAAATAAATTTTTCGTGCTGTAAATTGTATCGAAAACTGTCGAAATGTCGTTCTTAGAGAGCTTTAAATTTTTGAAACTTGAGGCGCCACTAGCAACAAACAATATTTGTCCGTCCTCATTATTACTAGTTACTAGTTATCACTGTGCGATAAAAATAATGTTTTTATTACATCGCTATTATTATATCTAGGGAAATAATGACATGTTTTTTATAAACACTACTAAAATATAAACTATTTAAGCTTAAGTCCAGAATTTTACATTTAACTTGACTCAGGATTTCGGAATTTCAACTCCCGTTTCCCCCCCCCCCAGGCAGCTGTGGGATACATTGTATTTTAATCAACTAAGCATTTCTTAGCCTTCCATCCATTCTTAAATACCTACTATTATTTTGTTTACCAGGTAATGATAAACGGATTAAGAATATTCACAGAATATTTGTTTATTTTTTAGAGTCACCTCATTATTTACAATTTGATAAATTATCGGAAAATAGATACACACCTGTTATAAACAATCTTATCAATTTATAATTCATTGATAATATCGTAATATAATTCTGTCGGCGCATGCGCTGTAAGAATCCTACCATAAAATGTCGTAGTGACATTAAAATATCTTTTTCGTTAATGCTACATTAAAGTATAAGCAAAGTAATAATGTATGTATATAGTATGAAATATGTGATTATAGACCTTAAAGGTAGTTTTGTATTGAAGAAATACATACATAAATAGAAATAGATACATAGATATACATACGATAAAATACATTTATTGTATAGCTATAAGATAAATCATGGCGTATGAGTGTCTAACTATATATTTATAAACCAATATAAGATTGCTTCAGTGGACTAGTTTAAAAAAATATGTATCCTACAACATTCATTCCTATTAGTTTAAAAAAATAAAACGGTATGAGTCAGCTACTTTACTAACTAAACCCTGCCATAAAATAAAGATTTTTTTGCTTAGTCTCTTATATTTAAATAAAACACTTTAACGGTTTAAAACGCGATATATATTAGTTAAACTTTTTTGAAAATTATTTTAATGCTGTGCAGCAACCGTCGTCACGAGAGCATCCGAAACGTCGAGCCGTAGTTAAAATAATTTTCAAATAAGTTTAACTAATATAATATATCATGTTTTAAACCGGTAAAGTGTTTTATTTAAATGGGTACTACCCGTGTAAACTACAGACAGCAATTAGTTCTAGTTCTAGTTCTAGTATTTAGTCCTATATCTTAGGCTCTTCTTCTGTTTCATATGGTGTTGGTTAAAAGTTCATTAACATTGTCTATTAATGCTTAAACGTCATTAAGTGTTAATAAACCTCGCATTAATCAGAATAATTAATATGTAATGAGTGTTTTTAACACAAGTGTGTGGAATTAAATTGTAAAGTCCAAATAAAGGGGAATTTTCCAAGACGCTCTTGTTTTACGATGTTTCGATCGTAAAAATAAAAATGGAAGCAGTTTATAATCTTGATATGTAATCGTAAAAGTATATTGCATTAAGAACAGTGAAACTATTCAGTCAAATAAGATGTTTTTTAAAACTTTGTAACTAACGGTTCGACTCCTACTGGAACCAGAGAGTTTCTGATTTTTTTTGAACTCTAGACTTGGTTTAGAGAAATAGCCGTGTGGGTTAGTTGTACATACAGTATAGCTATGGGTCATGAACCACCGTCCACAGATGAAAAAGGCGCGAAGTGTAATCGCGTTTCGGTTTTAATCTGTGGATTTCCAAATATCTAAAGCCAAAGTTGTTAGACTGGGGCATACCTACCATCAAGTTAACTCCACGCTTATCAGTGACTATCACAAACAAATTATCATACGCGATTAACACAATCTGTCATCAGCGATTCCGGTTATAAATTTATTTAATACCCAAAGGACTAGGCAAAGAATAATAATGCAGTACTTTTCCAATCTTTTGTTTATAATCCGCGGCGATACGGCGTATTAAAAATGACGATCGAATCGTAAATACGTTTACGATTTGCGCTCTATTGTCGTCATAACCTAACGACGTAAGCAGTTTACGTCTTCTATTGTTTAGATTCGACTGAAAAAGTATTTATAATGGTCAACTATACATCTGAGAATTAAACGAAATTGAGATTACTAAAATCATTTCACTAACATCACAAGTCTATAAGATTGAGTTTATATGAACTTCCAGGTTTTTCCTTAAGTGAATTCCGTATTCCCGCGTGGGGCAAGGAGCGAACACATTTCTGTGTCGGTTTTACGGATCGGTCCTTTACTGGCAAGTAATTGATCAGACTTCAGTCCACGCCCCACTTTTATTTCCCCAGGATTCAAACCAATAGATACAACGCCGATTTTTAGGTGGCCTTACAGTTAATTCTTAAATAACGAGACTCTCTTTAAATTTTTGCTGAATTTAGAAGCCGGGACCTCTTTTATGAACACCGTACGACTAAGAAATGGCATATAATTTATAGTTAATCCACTTTTACTACACTTTTTTAAATTATTACATTAACCTTTTAACAAATCGTAATTTCATGTTTAAACTTTGGGTTACAAACGACGAGTCTGATTTTTCAGCAGCTGTAAACATGGGGGAAATAACGCGTTTCCTTTATTCAATACTATTCAGTACAAAATATACTGATTTAGAAAAAGCATTATGTACGTAAAGTCAGTAAATATATTTCAACTGCGAGCGTTATTGTCGAGTGGGCAAGTGCGTAGGTACTGCACTAATTCAGGGAAGCTTGAGGTTGTGATTGTTATAAATGTTTCGTTATCTGTGGTAACCAGATCGTAAAACATCCCACGCACATGCGTCAAACCCGTGACGTCACAGATGTTACATCACATCTGCAATCAATAGCTTGACATTAACATGGGTTCCAGACTGATAGCAAACATTTAGGCAAAACACTATTTGGTATATGCACATTTTACTATACCGATATATGAAGCTGAGTTTGTTTGTTTGAACGCGCTAATCTCAGGAACGACTGATTCGATTTTTTTTGTTGTTAGAGCATTCGGTTAGTTACGATTCGAGCTTTAGGCTATAAAATAACACGCTAGGCAACCAATAGGAGCCAAGAAACATTGGGAAATGTGAAAAACGGGGAAATACAATCATCTTTGAAGGTTTCCGTAGCGCGCGTGCGAAAACAGGTTCAAATACCCTAAAAATATGTATGAAATAATATTCATATTTAAATTATCGAAAAAAAAAATTAAATAATAAGGTTATATCTCAATAAAAAAGCCTTTACTTATAACAGATGAAAATCCAACAGTTTACTTTAGAGTTCAGAACAATTCAAGTCGGAAATTCATACTCTCATATTATTCATAACATCCTTGTTTTACATACATAGTTTTTCACTGAGGACCGAACTTACGACCCATTAATACACGTTCATAAGAAAATCCTAACGAGTCTTGTTCTCATAAACGAAGCTATTAACTTATTAATTTGATGCTAATGTCCCGTTAAAACGACGAATGACCTAAAGAGTATGGGAATATTCTCATTGCATTGTTTATCGTAAAACTCAGACAGAGATTGTTTTTCTAGGTTGAAAAACAAGTGAAAAACACCATGTGTTATCGGAATACACATTGATTTATTAATATTATCACATTGAAGCTGTAGTAGTCTGTAGTTTACGCGAGTAGTACTACATTTGAATAAAACACTTTAACGGTTTAAAACGCGATATATTTTAGTTAAACATGT